GAAATCAGCACACATAAATAAAAGGGCCTTGTTTATAGAGTAGTTATTAAAAGCTCCATGTTGTTTTTCTCACTTGATAATCAGCCACACTCCATAGCATAGTCCCTGATTTGCAGAAATGCTGAGCAGCATTCCCTCCATCTGACAGCAAGGGCCTCTTAGCACCTCCTCTGGTGGGTGCCCCAACAGCCCCCCACTGAACCCAAAGATATAAAATTACCATTTCTGGAAACAGGCTCCCAGTTCTGACTCCATGTGACAGCCACAAGAAGCCAGACCAGCCTTGAAATGAGAAGAAACAACAAGTGATAGCACCGCTTAATTGCACGTTATTTTTGCCCCAGATCCATTGGATCCATTTTCAAGGAGATTTTGCTTGATGGCGGGAGCTGTTCTTCATGGGGATGAGGCTGGAGAGTGGCATTTCTCCAGCAGGGGCACTTTGTCAGGTCCTGTGGCTCATGGTAGGTGTCAGGTTGGCAGGGGCAGATCTGGAGGGTCATAGTGATGCAATTGCACCTCCTTTTGAGTCTAGATCCACTGCAAGTTTAAAACCAACTGGCTGGCAGTGACAACAACACTTCAAGAGGGAGTCGCTTGAGTTCGTGGCTCTTTGCAATCTACCTGATTCCTTCTAAACACTCCCTTTTCCCTTGTATTGTTCCCCCCCCCCCATGGGTTTAATGTTACACTAATCAAGCAATTCTTTTTTCTGCCATTCTGCTTTTTGCTGCTCTTTTTCACAGCCCCACAGCCTGATTTTAACTCCAGATAAAACCATTGCTTCAGGGGTGGAAACATTAATTCTGGTGACCATCCACCCGGGTGTGAGAATTGCTTTTCAGTAGAGCACGGGATGCAGTGCCAGGGGGCCTGGGAGGGCTGGCTTTCATTTTAGGGTGGACAGTCAAGGGTGGTTGCGTGTGAGGCCCGCAGGTCTAAAGCAACAGCACCTCGGGGTGAGGTTTTCCACCGGGGGGGGGGAACGTGTTGTGTTTCTGCACCTAATAAAGGTTGTAGCTTCTGCTAGTTTGGGTTTGGTCGGGGGGGGGGGGGGGG